TAAAATGAATTCTTTCAAATTTAATTTATATTCACGTTTCTATTTTATATTTGTTTGTATTGTTAATTTTTTTTTGTATTTATGTGTTTTGTGAGTTATTAATTCCATTTAATAATAGATAATAATACAAATGTGTGTTAATTAAGTTATTAACTTTAGTTTTGATGCTCTTAATTTTATTTGATTTTATGATGGGAACACTCTATATTGAGAGAGAACTCCATAATTATATAACCACTGACTCTATGTCTTAGTTTATGAAACCTATTCATCTTGTCATATGGTACTATGAAACCAATTAGTCTCGTCATATGGTACTATGTCACCAAATAGTGGACTCTTACTTGTGCTCATACCTCCTAATGATAGCTATACCATAAAGAGAGAGGGAATGACGAATTCTCACGTTATCTCTTTTTGTGCCTAGTGCCACCAACTTAGACGCATAAGTTGTGTTGCATTCCAGGAACCATCTTTTCACTGTGTTTTTCCCTGCCGCGTATGTGAGGTAGCAAGAACCGTTAAACATTTTTCTTTTGCTTGAAAAAAATTAATCGCACAAGATCAGAATTGTAAATAGGTAACCTGAAGATCAATTAGCAATCCTATTTCTAAGAGCTACCAAATTCAAATAGCCTTCATTGCCAGAATACTTGAGCTTGTCCTGAGAGCTTGTAAATGGGTTTTAGCTCAAAAAGTGATGAAATGAAAAGAATAAGCAAAATTCTTATCAGCTAAAGGGGAGAACACACGAAACAAAAAGCATATAGTTGTTCTTGAAGTAGTAAATGCATATCTATAAATTAACCCTAAGCAAGATAAAATTGAATCTAACCCAAGATCGAAAGTTGCGATTCAATTTTAAAATTTAACATGCGTATACAGAAAAAAAGGAAATGGAACTTTGCAAAGTTTCTTAGCAACAAAAAACCCAGTCTTGTGTTTTCCAATTTATGTTCGGAGTCAAATTTCATTGTACCTTTTTCTTATTTTCACCGTCTTCCGTTCTCTATAAAGGACCAAAATTTTGAATTTGATGTACAAGATGATAGAAAGCTTATGGATTTGGGTTAGTTTTCGACTGTTCCATTGGTGGTTATCTCACGAATGTAAGATCTTTTATTTTTTCGACATTAAGAGCCAAAGGGTTATTTTGCTTGGTGAGTTTCATATC